GCCAATACCACCAGACCTAATGGGAACCAGGCTGTATTAGCTGAGCTTCTAGGATGCAGCAAGGGATGGGGGTGGCCCAAGTCAAGTCTCTGGTAGGAACGGACCTGGTCCTACATGCTGGGGAGGAGGGATGAAGGGTGGGGGCACAGCTGGCTCAGCCAGGGGACTCACCCGATGTCATCTCGGTAGACCCGGGAGATGAGCACCTCCCCCTTGTGATTATAGATGAATAAGCCTCCAATCATGGCGGCAGCTCAGTCTCCAAGGCCCATCGCTCTGAGAACAGACCTAGGACAGGCGGAGGCAGGGTAAGGGAAGGCCTGAGAACCTCTGCCAACATCCTCTGTGGGGCTGTGCAGGTCACTGGCTGGGCTTTTTTTCCTGACTCAACCCTCCAGTAAGTGACCCTGAGGCCCTCCCCAGGCATGCCCCTCCCCTTAGCCAGGCTCCAGTTCCTGTTTATCCCACACTGGAAAGGAGAAAGAAATGGAGAGGGACTTGGGCCCAGGATTCTAAGGCCATTTTGACCCTCCCTTTTCTGGGGCTGAGCCCAGAGAGTAGCCCCCTCCCCCTCTTCACAGTGCTGAGCTCAGCACGGATCCTTTTTGGCCCCTTCCTGTGCAGACTCTCACTCAGACTGTAGCCAGTGAGTCACGGTGAAGGCCTGCCTGCGGCTGCAGGAATGGCGGTAGGAATTACTCCACTTTGTTCAGGTCTGGGGCCCCCAGGCACAGCTTTAGGAGCACCCAGTCTCTCAGGCTCCACTACCCTTCTGAGAAGACTGCAGGGCCTGAACCTGCTGCTCTCTAATTCACAGAAGTCTAAACATTCCAGGAAAGGGTGTGCAGGGCGTGGGGAGGAGAGAAGGGAGGCCTTAGGCCCTGACACCAACCGAGGAGTGTGGCTCCAACCAATCCCAGGCAGTCAGATAAGCAGGCAAAAGAGCAGAGCAGAAAGGCCCCAGCCCTGGCAGACTACACTTCAATGACCCAAGCTGCTTATGAGTTATTTTTAACCACCTCCCTTTCAAAAAGGGAGGATCCCTCTCAGCTCCCAAAGGCAATAAAAATAAGGGGGGTGGGGGGTGAGGGGTGAGGGTACAGTTCATAAAATGAAGAGATCAATCCAGCTGAAATTCTATGATTCCAGACCCATGACATAACTCATTTCTGGCCTGAGTACCTACAAGCAAGGGGCGGAATATGTGAATTATCCAAATTATTTGGGTCAAATTAATTTAGACTGTTTGCAAGGAGAAAAAGGGTTAATTTAGTTCTAGATTTCCTGAATTAGCTCTGCTATTAATTTCACAGGGCAGAGGGAGTTTAGCAGACTTTTCTAAACTGGAAAATAGAGCCTATTACTGTGGCCATCAGGGCCTCCCAAACTCAGTGAGAGGTCTCTCAAGGTGGTGGTGAACACATTTCACCCTTCAGTCCCAAAGAGGCTGGGAGAAGAAATGCAAAATGGAGGTAGAGCCCTGAGCAAAGAAGCAAGTTCACAGGTATCAAGTGGTAGGGACCTCAGAGCACCAAAGAGCAAAGGTGGGGCCCAGGGCAGGAAGGGAATACTGAGTTAAGGGGAAAGACTGGTAGAAACAGCCAGGCGGTCTACTTCAGGTGAGCCTGCAGCAGCAACAGGGCTGGGGGGAACATCTGGAGGAAGGAGTTTCCAGTGTGACAAAGGTAAGGCTTTGAAGAGGAAAAAACAGTAGGGAGAGACTGACAGTGGTGAATAAGGGAAAGCTGGGGCTGCGTAACTTGCTTTGAGGTTCAAGCGTAGAGGCATGAGCGGGTGGTGGGCTTTTCGCCCTGGGGAGGAAGACATCGCGGGAAAAATATGGCTCCACGGGGGTGCGGGGGCTGTCACAGGCCTGAGGAAGAAGAGCCGCGGGGTGTCACTCAACTGGGAAGAGGGGGTACCGCAGGGTGGGAGGCTTGTCACAGTCCAAGGAGGCGGCACAAGGGGGTGTCACTGTCCTAGGAGATGGGGGAATTGTCCTTGCGCTGAGAGGAGGCGCCAAGGAGCAGGGGGGGGTTGTCACGATCCCGGGTAGGGGGGCGCCGCGCGGCGTCCCCGCTCTGGGAGGATTCCAGTAAGTCTCCCTCTCACGGGAGGCGCTGGACGGGTCAGGTGGAGGGCGCCGCTCCTGGCCCGTCCTGCAACCGCGCCCCGGGCGCCCCCGCCCCGCCGTCAGCTCCCTCCAGATCTGAAGGCTGAGGCCAGTCCTGGGTGTGGGCAGCTTTCCGCGTAGCGCAGTGCAGGGAAGGGCAAAGCTGGGCAGCGTGGTAGGCGTTCTCCCTCACCCCTGACCAGATCCCGAGCTTACCTGGTCTCCGCGACCCCCTGCTCGGCCCGCCCGGCCACTCTCCAGATCCCAAGATGTCCGCCCACCCCCTGCTCGCTTGCCCGCTGCCTCGGCTTTCACCGCAGTGCCGCGGCCCCGCCCCGAACACAGTTGCGCGTGCGCGTCCACCGATCGCGCCGACTACATATCCCGTCAGGCCCCTCGACCTTCTCGCTTACAATTTTAAGCTTTCTAGGTTTAGCAAAACTACAACTACCCGAATGCCTTCGGCTGGGAAGGCGTGCCTTGGGGGAGGAATAGGCGTGGCCTTATCCACCCTTTCGCGAAATACACATCCCATCATACGCCACTCCACTCACTTCACTTTCCCCACTGAGCATTCTGGGAATTGTAGTCTGCAATCCATCCTGTTCCTATTTCAGTGTTGAGGAAAGCTTCAGAGAATTAATACCATTTGTTGAAGCCCATCTGTCAAGCCTGAGATTGCTGTAGGCCTTTTCTGTCTCCGGAGTCCGAGGACTGGCTGTGCTCACTTTACACACACACGACTTGGCAGAAGTGTTTGTACTGAAATTCCTGCTTTCTAACACCACCTCTGATTCTCCCAAGAGTTTTTCATCAAATATTTGTTCCAGACATGAGCCTTTTCCCAGGGTTCAAGACCCAAGTAAAAGGGCAGGGAGCAAGAAGGCAAATACTTGTAAGAAACTAGCCAAAGCTTTTCAAGAATGTCTGTTCTATCCCAGCTATACATACGTATGTGACATCTCAAGCCCAGAACCTGTGTGCCTTCTAGTGACAGCATATATGTTGCTTAAAAAACCGTTGGCAAGTTTAATTTAACTGGACATGGAATTTGAAATCCCCTCTCTGATGAACAGAGTTAATCTTCAAATCCAAGCTGAGAAGAGACAGCAAACCCTCAGACATGAAAGGCCTACTTCCTCTTGCAGGACCTAAAGAAAATCTGTTAGCTCTTCTCTTTCTGTAGGGAGAGATGCCCTGCTGCCTTCACTGCTGCTGAGCCCATCATGAGAGGAAGGACAAAAAGGGGCAAACCTGGTTGCAAACCCTACTGTCCCAGCATCCTCTTGCTACAAGCCAGGACATGGCAGGATAAAGATCTGGTCTCCCTCAAACGGTGGTCACAATGTGAATCCATTAAGTGACCGAATATAGGCATTTCTAATTCCTGAACCAGCACTCAAGGCTTCACTGCTACCTTTCCAAAAGCTTTATCTTCAGTAATATCCTACCATTTAGAGTAAATAATAATAATAATAATAATAATAATAATAATAATAATAATAGCTACCATTTATTGAGCACCTATTCTACTGTGTGCCAGGCACTGTGCTAGGCACTTTTCGTACATTATCTAATTTAAATCCTCACAACAACCCTGTGAGGTAGGTATTATTATCGTCATTTTACATATAAGGGAACTGAGGCTCAGAGAGATTAAATAACTCTCTTATCACGAAACCAAAAAGTAGTAGAGCTGGGATTCAAACCCAGAACAACCTGACTCCAAATCCCATGCTCCTGTGAGTTAGAGTAGAGGCAGGGGGGAGAGAAAGGACCATATTCAAGAAAGATCGTTGGAGTGGAATGGATATGATATAATGACTAGTAAGATATGGGGAGGAATTTAAGCCCATAAGTGTTACTAGCTGGTGTGCCTATGTAGAGTGTGATAAAAATAACCAAGATTGGAATTCAGGAGGAACACACTTGATGCGGGAAATGAGTTGAGTCCATATGGGTATGTCCATGGTGATGTCCAGTGGGTGGTAATACAGATCTAAAATTTGGAGGGAAATTGTGGCTGAAGATATGTGTTTTAGAATCACCAGCATATCAGTGTCAATTGAGGACATCAGGATAGATGACATCATTTGAGGAGTAAACATAGAGGAAAGAGAAGTGAACCAAAGATGGAACACTGGGAGCACCAAAACTGAAGGCATGAGCAATAGTGGAGGAATTCTCAAGGGAGTTGAACATGGCAGAGTCAGGAAAGGAAAAGTATAGGAGGCAGCTCTGTAGTGGTGGCTAGAGAAAGCCATGGCCTGGGTTGGGAGCAAACCTAGAGCTCCTAGAAGGCAGGCAAGACTGAGTCATGCTTCCAACACAGCCCTTGGTCACCAAAAACCCAGGAAGTCTTGGTTAAATGAATGAACGCCAAAATGTCCCTACCCTGGTTTGCCCCAAAGCCTGGAGCTTAAGACTTAATCCTTAATCTTGACACCCCAGTCCTAAAAATATGGACACCTAGGTAAGCCAGGAGAACTTATAGACGAGGTTTAAAGAGAACGTCATGATTTGCTTAAACTGGAGAATAAGGTAAAAAAATAAAACCTGGCACTTTAGTAGGAGTCCCAGAAGTCCCCCTGCCCAACCTTTCTCTGGGGCATCATGGTAATTATGAAATCAGGGAAGGGCGTGTGGGGTAAGAGGCAGGGTGAGAACAACCTGCCAGTTGCTTGGGGAGTCCTCTGCTGAGCCTAAACTGACACCCAGCTTATGAGCTTTATCCAGTAGGAAGATGATGGGGACATGTGTGGGAGGCTTGAGGGCTATAAGGAAGGGGAGAGGGAAGTCAGGGAACCAGCCCTACAACCTGGGAGAGAAGATCCAGCCCTCTGGGTAGGGACCAGCCCTGAGGCTTAAGTGAACTTGCATAGGTATGTGTGTGTGTGTGTGTGCGTGTGTGTGTGTGTGTGTGTGTGTGTGTGTGTGAGAGAGAGAGAGAGAGAGAGAAATAGAGAGAGAGGAGACATAAGGATGGGGCACTCTCTGGAAAGGGGAACAGAGTCTCATACATGGGTGAGAGGCTGGAGCCCCCCCCAAAAGCCTAGTGACTCAACATGTTGAAGTGGGGGTGTGGGAGCTGAACATCCTTGGGAAGCCCTGAGGGGCTGCTGAAGCAGAGTTCCTGGTCTCCTCGGAGGCTGGGCCTCCCCTTGCTGGGGGCTCACAGAAAGTCAAACAGCCCGTAATTCTTGGCTGCTCCAGGCCCAGGAAAAATTGAGGGAAGAAAAAAGAAAGAAAAGAAATGTTTCAGGCCCAGAGGTGAGATGAGCCTAGTGGTTAGTAGAGTTAGAGGTCTGAAGGAACCAGCACACAGGACAGGCATGGGAGTACAGATGTAGGGGTAGAGCAGATATGCTTCCTGGAAGCCACTAGCAGCTCAGGCAACTGAGGGGGCCCTTCGGGCTTCTAGTAAAGGCAGGCACAAGCTGAGATAGCTTAGATGGTTATTGGAAGTGACTACAGCTCTAGGGTGCAGGACTGTGGCAGCCCCCCACCACTGTGGGGCGGGAGCAGTTAGGAAGAGGGGCAGCTGAATCAAGTATTTTTTGGTGTCAGTACTGTGGGGGAAAAGTTAAGAGATTGGCACACATGCTCAAGGGGATACGGTTAATGGAGGGCTGATGTAGCTGGAATGAACGGTGCAAGGTTGCTGCGGGGGTGCCGGTGGCGGGGGGAGGGGCGGGGGGCGGAAGGTGGGGATAAAGGGGTGAGCAGGCCCTCAAGGGCACCGCTGGGTTCAACTCCTGAAGTGTGTGTGGGGAATAAGGAGCAGCACCAGCAAGTCGGGTCCCAGTAACATGAAGGATCCTGGGAAGGCCCTCAGCGGTTAGTGGACAGAGGGGCAAGCTGGGGCCGGTGGCAGGTTAGGGGCCGCAGTGGCGATCGGTGGGTGCACCCCGCCCTCGCTGCGCCCAGCGAGCAGTTAGCGCGCCTGAATTTAGTTCAATTTATTTCCCTTTCAGGTACCAGACAAAGTAAAAAAGACGGACGGACGGAGAGAGGGACGCAGCCGCCCGGGTGCGGGAGTGGGATGCAAGTGGGGGAGGGGCCCTGTTCACATCACATCCACAAAGAACTCACTGGGGTTTCCCATGGCCATGCGGAAGGACTGTCTGCTGGCTGTCAGTTCGGGGGGCACAGAGGCCAGGTCGCGGCCCGGGGGGGCTCCCGGGGGCCCCATGGCCGCGGGCGGCGGGGGCATCATCAGCATGGGGGGACCGTAGAGAGGGGGCACGCCAGGGGGGCCGTAGCTCGGGTGCGTGTGGTGGCTGCGCAGGCTGCCGGCCATGGAGTGGTGGCTGCGGTGGCTATGCTCGCTGGCGGCAGGCCCCGAGCGCTCGCTGGGCGCCCTTTCCCGCGACCCCCGCAGGCTGCTGCGGGTTGTGTGGTCCGACTCGCTGCCGCTGCCGCCCGACTTGGAGTCCCCCGCCTTCGGGTCCTTCTCCTTCCGCCGGTCACTGCCGCTCCGGTTGGAGCCACTGCTCCGGCTGCCTGTAGGGGACAGGCAGGCGCAGGGCGGGCGACGCTCAGGGCTTGCAGCAGCAGCTTGGGGTTCGCCTGTGCCCCCACCACCGCCCCCCTCCACCTTACCTTCACTGTGCTGACTGCTGGCGCTGCCCCCACCATAGCTGTACCCCAGCTCTGGGAAGCCTGGGTGCGGGTTGTAGGGGTGTGGGGGCGGCGGGTACTGGTAAGGGAAAGCCATGGGCCAAGGGGCGGCCCCTGGGTGCGGCAAAGGGGCCAGCGTGTCCTGGTCAGAGGCGCCACTGGAACCGTCGTGATCATGGAGGGACAAGTTGGCCATGTCTGTGGAGGGGAGGGCCAGATGAGCTGGGTCTATCCCATGCCCCCACACCCCTAGGTCAGGAGAGAGAGGTCCCCGGTCTAGGTGAGGGGGGTACATCTGTGATGACACCTAACAGCAGTGGTAGTTTATCCTCCAAATGAGCAGAGGCACAGGTCAGAGATCTCTCACTTCTTCAGACCCCCTCTGCCACCTACCTGAGACGGTGGAGAGGGAGACCCTGCAGACACAAACCACACAAGGAAAACCCTCCTCAGGAAGGCTCTAAGCCCCCACTGCAGATGCTCAATGCCCAATCCTGACACCCAACTCCCAGGCCCAGAGAGGCCCCCTTCCAAAGGTTTGACAGTTTCTCCTCCTTCCTCAGTAAGCTGGCAGAAGGAGCACAAATCTTAAATGGGCAATGTTCTCCTCTGTTCACTTGGGGGGAGTGTGGGAAGCTGAAATAGCAGACAGGTATTGCAAACCTGCAAGTCATTAGGCACGATACAAAGCTCTTCACCTCATGCAAATGTTACCACCATCCTATGAAGAGGGCATTAGTCACATTTTTTCCAGATGAGGAAAGTGAAGTCCAGAGAGGTTAAATGACCCACCTGAGGTCAATCCAAATTGTAGCCAGAGCAGAAGCTAGGAGTTGCTTACTTTCTTCTTATCTTTCCAGGTGAGTCATTAATAAAGAGTAGGGAGCAGTTTGGGGAAATTTAGGTGAAATTTTGCCCTCTCCCTTCATCTAGGACTAAAAAAAATACTCATTATAGGCCAGAACGAACATAGGCCTTTCAGAGCCTCCCCATACAGAAGGCTCTTGGTCCAGATGGATTTCCTGGTGCTGCTGGGGAAGGTGGAAAGGGCTCAGAAAGAGAACAACTTAGATGCCTCCTCTGTGCCCTCTACCCCATTCCCAGCCAGGCCTCATTCTTCACAGTATTAACATTACTTGTTTCATGACTCTGGCTCCCACAGTAAATTGTTCACTCCTTAAGGGCAAGGCTGCCCCCAACAATGTTGGAACTACTTGAACGGGGCCACCAGAAGTGTTACCTGCCTGGGACACCCCTTGCTCACACCTCATCATACCAGGTCCCAGAGCTCTGACAGAGCTGGAATTGCCCTACGGGCCATGCTAGATACAGATGGAGCCCTTTGTTCCAATTCCTTAAGTAAGCCAGCCCAACCTTCCAGGGAAGAAGAGGTCAGGAAAGGGGGATCTGAGAGGGCGGAGGCTGTCTGTGGAGTCTACCAGCTAAGCCATCAACCTGTCAAGGCCTGCAGCTAGCATGGGGGGGTGGTGGTGGTGAGGAACAGGGGGCTGCCTTGGCTCATGCCCCAAGAGCTGGTGACTATTTCAGCCTCCGAGCTGTTGTCCTGAGGGGAGTGATTGTGGGCTCCTGGGGATCCCCCAAAGAATTGGGGTCCCCAATTCTTTCCTTTGAGCCTGCTGAGGAGGCTGAGATCTTGGCCAGTGAGAAGAAAAAGACCTGTCAGCCTATCCCTGAGCTGGGCCTCTGGGGGGTCTTGGCCAATGGGTAAAAGACCCAGGAGGCCCCAGGGATAGAACAATAGGTCTTGAGCAAAACCCACAGCTGTCTTGAGAAGCTTTAGGGGTCCCTGGAGGTTCAGGGTCAGGGCTGACTTCTTCTAATGATGATAATAATAACCACACAGGATTGAGTCTAAGAAGCCATTAATTATAAGATGCACCCCAATTTCAGAGATATCGAAATGTGAAAGAAATGTTCACCTTAGAATCAATTAAATTTATGAATGGAGAATTTTTTAAAGCACTTACTGTGGGCCAAACATGGTGCTAAAAGCATTATACACACTGTCTTAACCTCTAAAAAGCTCTGAGATAGGTTCTACTATTACCTCTAACTTACAGATCAAGAAGTTGAGGCAACGAGAGGCTGTCACTTAACTCATGTTCACACAGTGAGGGCATAGCTAGGATTTGAACTCAGAACTGTCCAACTCCAAAGCCCTATGCACCCTCCATCATGACCTTGTGCTCTGCAGCAACAGCCTTTCTAGTCCTAGAACCTAACCTGAAGCATTTTAAGTCAGTTTTTGGACTTTAGCCAGCAAGTGCCACTGGGATGACAAAAGGCTCCCTGAGGCAGAGGCGGCTGCTGGGAGTGGGCTTCTGCTCCCAGGCTGAGCAATGCTGTCCTGTTTTGAGGACTCCCCTTTCTTCCCAAGGGCTGTCTATATGCTCAGGAGGAGAAGGGAGGGTTCCCTGCAGACCTTTCCTCCTTAAAAAGCCTCATTGACTTTGTACTCTCTCGGGATCAAGTCAAGCTTGGGGCAGCTTGCAGAGTCCTCTACAAGCTGGCCCTGACAGTTTTTTTTCAGTTTCAGCCCTGACAGTTTTTTTCAGTTTCATCCCAAGGCCCAGCCCACCCTCAAGGGTCTGAGGAGGCTGGGGACTTGGGGCCTCAAGCCAGCCCCAGGTCCTGCCTTGGTGGAACCTGCTTGGTGCTGGGAGGGTGATCAGGGGCCAACGGTAGGATCTTTGACCTCGCTAAGATAATGTTTCTGCAACACCACACACCTAGGCAGCTCCAAATGGTAGTAAGAAAAAGGACTCTGGAGCCAGAAAGACCTGGACCCAAGGCCTAACTCCTCTGTGTCTGACTGTGAGAATGAGTGGACTATTTAACTTCTCTAAGTCTGTTTCCTCAGCTGAAATAGGGATAGTGATCCATCTCCTCAAAGGTGAGGAGGCGGGGTTGTGAGGACTGAGTGAGAGTGAGATGATGCTTAGAAACAACCAGCACGGGGCGCCTGGGTGGCTCAGTCGCTGGGCGTCTGCCTTCAGCTCAGATCATGATCCCAGGGTCCTGGGATCGAGCCCTGCATCGGGCTCCCTGCTCCGCAGGAGGCCTGCTTCTCCCTCTCCCACTCCCCCTGCTTGTGTTCCTTCTCTCGCTGTGTCTCTCTCTGTCAAATAAACAAATAAAATCTTAAAAAAAAAAAAAAAGAAAGAAAGGAAGAAACCAGCATGGTGCCAGAAACAGAGGAGGCACTTAGAAAATGCCAGCCCCAAGACGGGGACGCAGAGCAGGTGAAAAGGCCTGACTGGGATCTGCTTCTACTAGAGAGGGAGGCCCGTGTCAGGCCTCAAGCTGGGCCCCCACCTTGGCTGCCTTGCTCACGCCTCATGTGGGCTCCCTGGGGTCTGCTGCCACATCCCGGGGCCCCTCCCCACTCCCAGCCAGGAGACAAAGCAAGGAGGTGGGGGAGGCACATACTGCCACAGAGGTCACCGAAGATGTAGTAGCACTGCTCAGAGAAGGTGATCTTGTTGACAGTGTGGCGGATGAAGCCGGCTTTCAGCAGGTTGCTGGCATACTTGCGGGCCTCTCTCCGGTCAGTGAAGCCTTCCACGTTGTGGTATAGCCAGTCCACCACATCCGAGCCTGGGGGCAAGGCCGCCACTTGATTGGGAGGCCCACCTGACTGGGGCTCATCTGACCTCACAGAAGCCACAAGGCTGGGGCTGGTGCCAACTCCAAGGAGTGGCCTAAGGGAGATCTTCAGCCCCCAGCCGGCCCTGCCCCACCTCTCCCCACCCCGCCCTTCATCCCACCATGGGGCCCTCTCACCGATGAAAGCGTTGGGGATGGTAATCTTGAGCCACATGCGGTCTCGGACCTCCAGCCCAGATTCAGGGGAGGCCATGGCTTTGACAATGGCGGCCATGTCACTGTGGATGGACAGGTGGAAGTCGTCTAGGCCTGGGGGTGGGAGGCAGAATGGTGAGGCAGAAAGGGGCTACAGAGTTAGGTGGAGAGGAGTTTGCACTGCAGCTCTATCGCCTAATAACTATGGACCAATGGTGGGCACATTATGGACTTCTAGGACACTTAGTTTCCTCCTCTGTAAAAATAGGGACTTTAATATTTATTTTGCAAGGATTTGTTTGTTTTTTAAAGTAGGCTCCATGCCCAATGTGGAGCCCAACACAGGGCTTGAACTCACAACCCTGACATCAAGACCTGAGTGGAGATCAAGAGTCCAACGCTTAACCAACTGAGCCACCCAGGCGCCCCATATTTTGCAAGGGTATTTGAAGAGAGAATTAAATAATATGAATGAAGGTGCTTAGCAAAGTGTATAATATGTGTGTTATAATAAAAATGGCAGTCATTTGCTGAGTGCTTACTTTATGCCACATATTGGGATCGAGGCTTCACTTATACCCTCTTGTTAAAACCCCCTCCCTCACCCCGGAACCTGGTAGAGTGCGTATCATTAGTCCCATTTTACTAGAGGAAACTGAGGCTCGCGGGGTGCTCAATACAGGTTCAGAGGCAAACATTGTTTTGTGAGGGTTTTGTGTCCACTCTGGGAAGCTGCAGTGTGAGGTAGCTGGAATAAACTCAGCCCCCTCTCCAGCCCCCTCTGACTTTTAAGCAAGAGTCTCCATGTGGGCCTTCATCAGTCCCTCCCACCTGGCCTCGTCTGCTGGGCCTCGGGGGCAGGGTTGGACACTCACGCTCTGTGTCAGGGATGGAGCTGGTGATGGAGGAGCTGGTGGAGGTGATGGTGCTCAGGGAGGGGCTCATGCCATAGGCAGGGAAGGTGCCGGTCATGGCTGCAGTGTGGGAGACCCAGGCTGCAGGGTCAATGGGCCGGATGGGCTCGCCTGCAGGGAGGATGAGAGTCAGGGGCTGCCCATGCTGCCCACTGGCAGGCCCCACAGGGTAGGTATGAGGGTTCAGGGCAACACAGAAGGAAGGAGAGACAGGGTTCACGTGTGCCAAGCACCAGCTTTAGGGCTAGGTCCCCCAGCCACTTACTCCTGGGCAGTGTGAAGCAACCACGTGGACTTGGGTCCCAGCACTTGGCTACAGTCAGGGTGATGGGCCTGAAAGCAAGGGTGTCCCTAGTGAGGGCAGGATGCACGGAGTCCAGACCAATCCCCTTGCCTAACAGCCAGAAATGCCTGCCCCCTCCTTCCCAATGTCCCATCCCATCCATACCCCGGTTTGTGCACAATCTCCCGCAGTACCCGGACTGCGTCGTCATTACTCATGTTCTCAAAGTTGATCTCGTTTACCTGGGAGAGAGGGCCAGAAGTGGGATAAGCAGCTGGGTTGGGGAGGTAGATAGGGAAGCTGAGGTTGGTGATCAGGTCTTCCCCCTACCAAGAAGTGGCCTCTAAATGAGCAGGCATTATCTCCCTACTCCCCATCCACACCACCATCTCCAGTGGGCAGTGGTACCTGTAACAGCATATCTCCTGGCTCGATGCGTCCATCTGCAGCCACAGCACCCCCCTTCATGATAGAACCGATGTAGATGCCTCCATCACCACGCTCATTGCTTTGGCCCACAATGGAGATGCCCAGAAAGTTGTACTTTTCTACAGAGAGTAATACAACCTTAAGAGAGGAACAAGGTTCCCACCCAAATTCTGAGTTCCTTATTAGAAAAGGGTGGAAAGGGATGGGAGGAACTAACATTCATCAAACCTGAATCGGGCCCTGTGTTCAGCATGGTCAAGCATGCTTCCATTCAGGCCTTGCTAGCTCTGCCACAGGGACTCTTCATCCCATTTCACAAAGCAGGCCACTGAGGTTCGAAAAGCTTCAGTGACTTTTCTAAGCCATTAAGTGGCAAAGCCAGGATTCAAACACAGACTTAAATTCTAAGGTTGGGGCTCTTTTTACGACATCCAGCTATCTCCTAGAGACAGTACCTAGGGCAGAAATCAGAGAGCAACAAGCATCGGCTGAAAAAGGGAAGCGGGATAGGAATCAGAAATTACTTCCTCCAGGAAGCCTTCCCCGATGCCATCCCTCTGCTTCCACAGCTCTCTGTGCTTGTCTCTGTCATAGCCCTGATCACGAGCTACTGAGATGATCGGTTTATGTACTGGTTTATGTTTATGAAAGCTCCTCAGGGTCAGGGAACATATCTTGTGCCTCTTTGAACTCTTCAAGTCTGCCCAGTGTCTGGCATATAGTAGGCCCTCAAGAGTGTTGTTTCACCAGACTCACCCATGTTGAGAGTGACTGTGATGATGTTGAGTGACATGGTGGAGTCCGTGATGCTGCTGAAGGACGAGGACTGGAACAGACAGAGGCCCTGAGCAGCATGTAGGGCTGGCAAGAACTCACTGCTCCCACCTAGGTCCTCCTCCAGGCGAGCCCTCGGCAACCCCTCCCCTAAAAGGCTCAAATGCTGGCCCCATAGGAGGAGGTTTAAGGAAGCACACACCCTGGATCTGCCTGGACAGGGCACAGTCTGCCCCCACCCAACCCAGGCATCTCAGGCCCCGTACCCGCTCAATCCGCGAAACCTTCTGCTTCCTCCGCCGCCGCTTATGTCTTCTCATCAGGCGTGAGGCGCTGCTCTGCTCTGTGGAGCTGCTGAACCTGGGGGGCCCACAGTCGTTCCCCACCAGGCTGGCCCAGCCCTGCCCCACAAGAGGCACCACAGGGCCCAAGTCCCCCATGCAAAGCCCACAGCCCTCCCAGGGTCCCACCATCCTGGGGGGAGATGGGGTCAGGGCTGCTCGGGGGTCACCTGCCCCATAGTACCAATGAAACCAAAGCCCCACCTGCTGGTGGAGTCATCCTCATCCGAATCAAAGAAGCTGGTGGTCTCTAACTCGCTGCTCATAAGGGTGGATGAGCTATCATAACCCCCTGGCTCTCGCCGCCGTTCCCCCTTTGCAGTTCCATTTAGCCGGGTTGCTGCAGGGAACAGAGGCAGCTGGGTTCACAATGCCGATGCAGGAGGGAAGGGAGGACACAGGGCTGGGCTAGGGGCTGCACTGGGGCCAGGCATACCCAGAGCTCAGGAAAGGGCAGAGAAGTGGGTAGCTGAATGGAAGCGGTGGGGGTAGGCGTGGGTGGGGGTGGGGAGGGAAGGTGTCTGTTCAGGGAAGACGCACTGTGCTCTGGGCCATCCCTCCTGCGTGGCCGCTCGCGCTGGGCAGACACCAAGGAGTCTGTCTCTGTGTCATTGTCCAGGTTCTCCTGGCTGCCTCCACCAGCATGAGGGCTGCAGGGAAGAGAGGACTTGGTGGGAGAGGGGGCAGGCTGGGGGCTCCCTCCCCCCAGCCCTGGGCTGAGCTGATGCATCCCTCCCCCATGGGCCTGCTCCACCCTCAGGCCACACTCACTGGAAGGATGGGGGCCGGGAGTCCCCAATGCCTCCCGTGCGCTCCATGGGCGGTGGCAGTTCTGATGGGTTGTCAGCACAGAAGGGAGCTGGCTCTGGGTGTGAGCCCTCAGCAGACACCAACTGATGGGGAAAGAATGGGTGGGTAGTGTGGTACAGGGGGCACCAGGGAAATAGCAGATGGTTGGCTTCTGGCAGGGCATGCAGACTTGGGGAGAATGAAGCAAGGGACATGGAGGTAGAAGGAACAGGACTATGCAAGGTCAGCTGAGATGAGGAATGGACTCACTGCTGGTGGATGGGGAGGATGGGAGGCATGAGCTATTGAAGTGGGATGGAGGCAGAGAACAAGGGTCAGTGGTCTAAGGCAGAGGTTGGCTGGAACCTGAGGCAAAGTGCCTCAAAGGGCGTCGGAGACATTTGTGTCTCTGATGAGTGTTTCTGTCCCTCCCTCTCTCCATATTCCACCTCCCCCCGGCCCCCCATCTTTCACCAAGGCTACAGAATCTGGGGTGAGAAAGAGTTCAGGTAGAAAACTCAGGGCAGAGTCCGATATTGAAGTATAAAACCACCAGCTATAATCTTAGCAACGCTTTTCCTGTCTAGCCCACCGCAGGAACGCAGGAGGAGGAAGGGTTGAGGAGGGCTTCTTACCCAAGACACCACCCGGCCATTGAAGCAGGGCAGCTTGGCATTGTCGTCGGAGATCTCCTCCTTCACCACTCTGCAGGGAAAGTGTGGGGGTGTCCAAGTGAGCTTTCTGAGGTGGAAATGGAAGGGTCCTCACAATCCTAACTCAGGGGCTCCCCCACCCTAAACTGGGAATCATGCCACCAGCCTAAGCCTATTCAGATGGGAGCAGAAGTGGGAGTCACCTAGGGACAGCTCTTTAGCACCACCAGGAAGACATCAGCCCTGCCCAGGCCGGATGCCATCCTGGGGTGTCCTCTCAGTTACCAGGTGACTGCAAATTACACCTGACAAATTGCTGTCCCTCATGAATGTGGCTACTCCCTAGAATCATGAGAGTGCTTTACCCAGTCCCAATATATCTCTTCTGGACTAGACTTACTCTTTCCCTCTGACCCTAAACTAGGAAAAAGTACATCCTTATTTCTGTCTTTCCCTTCTTGGGAATCCTGACATTCTTCTGGGAGGTTTGGATGAGGAGTTTAAGGAAATTAGGAAAGAGAAGGAGAAAAGGTATTTACTGAACATCCTCCACTGCCTTTATGGTAATAGTACCAATTGCTCTCATTTATTAAGCATGTATCATGGGCCAACACTTTGCTTGTGTCATTTCATTTAAGACAGATACAGATGGGGAAACTAAGGCTTAGTAAGTTCAGAAATTCACTTACGGTCACACCACTAATAAAAGCTGGAATTTGAATGCTGGTCAGCGTGATTCTTTAGCCTTTATTCTTACCTATTATACCATCTTATCTCCCTAGAGTTAGAATGTATAATCTTCACATCACCTTCATTGTATGGACAAGATTCTCATTTTACGAGTAAAGAAATGGAGAAACATTCAGTAACTTGTCCCAGGTCACAGAGCCTGGAAGATATCAGAGTTGGAATTCAGCCCCAAGCTTGCCTGACTGCAAAACCTATGGTCTTTCCATGGTATTTCACATTTTCTTCTCATACCGTGACACGTGATGTGGATGTGTGTGTGTGGTGTTGTGGGGGGAGACAGTGATGTGGGGCATGAAGGGGGTGGGATGTGTATAGGCATGCAGTTTGGCTTGGGGATGCATCAAGGCAAGAAGTCAGACCATGATTACAGTTTGGGGCCAGGGAAAGGAATGAAGAAGTTTGAGGGCCCCAGACTGTTTCAAACACCCCAGGAGTACAGAGCTGGAAAGATGTGATCAGGGGCAAGAGAAAGACACATGCCTGGGGTTGTGAGCAGAGAGGGAGGCTGGGAAGCCTAGTCCTTCCTTGTTCTTGCAGCAGCTTCTGCCCAGAGCCGGGAACATGCTTGGCTCCTTGTGATGCTCACATTCTTGGACTCACAGCCAAGTTCGAAGACCGAGCCTGCCCTTCTCCCTCCCATCCAGCTCTGGTTCCTCCACCATTTCCAACCCCACAAAGACCCTGGGAAAGCAGCTCTAATCATCCTGGTCAAGCCCACGATGGCAGAAAGCCTAGGGATAGAACATGCTGAAAAGAAGGGACATGGAGGTAGCTCAGAGTCATGAGCCAGGCTGGCCACAGGGTTACCCTAAGCTTGCAGTCCAATATGGGAACTGGGGCTCAAAGGAAAATGGGGTATGTGGGTCTTAGGGCAGACACTGACCTGCTCTGGAGGGGGTCTCCCTGCAGTGGGAAACTGCTGCTGAGTCCCCACCACTCCCTCCCCCAGCAGGCCCCACCACATAGCTCCAATGCTACAGATGTTTCCTCTCTTTCTAGGGGTCACCGACAGGTCGCCAAGGCTCTGCTGACTCATAACGATCAGCTGATCTTCAGCAACAGCCTTGGGGACCTCAGAGAGACCTCCCCCTCCCACCATGGAGATGAATGGCTCAGGGTTGCACAGCGCACACACACACACACACACACACGCCGTAAGCAGAGCTGAACCAATCTGGGTTCTAATTCTGCTATTTGTTAGCCCTCCTATCTTAGGGAAGTTTCTTAACTTTTCCAAACCTTTGTCTTATCCTGGTAAGTGTGATTTGTAAATGTTGGCATGACGTAGGCTTACAATAAAAGCTAGTTATTAGCTGTGTCCATTTTTAGCAGGTTCCATACTCTTTCCAACTAGGTGTAAGTTTCTAAGGGCGGGGACCAAACAAATCTACGCATCACTCATTGTCCATCATCGTTCATTCAATTAAAAAGCCTTTGCTAAGAGCCCAGTGGGTTTTAAGTCCTGTGCTTGCCATTGTATAAACCTCAAGAAGCACCAGACCAGGAGCCTGCCTTGTCCTTGGAGGTTATGGCCCAATGGATAGTTCATACAAGTATATGGCAAGTGGGAAGTGGTCAGAACCATAAGAACAGCAGATGTGCTCACTGGACAGACATCTGCTGAGTATTACTTAGGTGTCAGGTCCTGGCTAGGAGCTGGGTAGGTGTAAGGATAAATGGGATAAAGTACCATAACTTTAAAAGCTAAATGCAGATGAGGCAATTTGGACCTGGGGAAGAAAAGGGAAGAGCAGTGTGCTCAGGGTAGAAGGCCCAGAGGCAGGGCAGTATGTGACATGGAGCGGGGAGCAACACGGTTTGTAGTCCAACTTCCCATGTTGCTCCCGCCCACAGCTCAAGGCCACTCTAGCATCCATCAGTGGTGAAAATGTTTATTCTTCCTCCATTTCCCAAGTAATTTAAGAGGGTCTGGCCTACCTTAACTTGACAAATACTTCTGGAGACCAGATGGGAGTTGGGGAGTCCTCAGTCCTCACAAACCAGAACCTCAGAGGGTAAGCTTGGAGAGCAGCCTTTCTCCTCTGACCCACTCTCCCATCTGTCAGCAGAGGTCGCTGGCCTCTGCCCAACCCTGGTCTCATGGGGCTAGGATAAGTGGCAGCCCTATCACCTCTACAGTTTGCCAAGGCTCAGCATCTCCCTCAGAGAGGATGTAGCTGTTCAATGGTGATGATAATAATAACACCTACAATTGTGTGATTAAGGTCTTAGCCTTTGGAGCCAGATTTCTGATGCAGAACCAAGCTCTGCCACTTACTAGCTGTGTGGCCTTGGGTAAGTTACTTAACATTTCTTCATCTATAAACTGGGGATATTACTACTTATTTCATAAGGCTGTTAAGATGACTGAATGAGTAAAGATCTGAAAAGCATTCAGATCAGTGCATGCACACTGAAGTACCATAAAAAGAGTTTGTTAAATACATGAAATATATATACTTCTCAGCTACCAGTTCTCTGTGACAAGACAGCTCTAGCCCTCTCCTGCTCAATAATCCTTCTGGGGATAAAAACAAAATCAATCTCCTCCTTTAGGTTTGTTCTCAATCCTGTTAAAACAGTCTACTATAATATTTTGCAAAGGATGGTTCAAGTACCACTCATGTATGCAAGATCGCTTCAGGTGCACCTGAATGAATGTTTAATTCAATAGTTAAGTATTTATTTTTAACATATTTTAGAAAGAAATACAAGTAGAAAATCAGACCTGTGATTTCATATTACTGATTGGGTCAAGCTAAGAAAGAGAGCGTGAACTGGATTTAAAGAACAATATTAAGTCAACCGTGAGTAGATGTAATGGGAACCCTCCTATGACTATGGTTAGGCCTGGTTTGACAGCAGTCTGGCGGGAGTGGGAGGTAGCCCAGAGAGGTATAAGTTTAGGAGGTGGGGGCTAAGCCCACTGGGTTCAGGGGTGAGTTGAGGGTAGAGGCACAGGCCTATCCCAGTCCCTCAAGGCATCCAGTCCCAGGGTGGCTCCAGCACACTGCACTCTAGCTGATTTCCCCTATCCCATACCCTGAGGCGGCATCTTGGTCTCTTCCAACTCTGTTTTTCTCTTACCAGGCCAAGGCCTCTGCCCCCTCACTCTCACCCCTTGCAGATCGATCCCTCTTCAGAATCTTCCCATCAGGGGTGTCTGTCTCTGGACTGAAGCCAGACAATCATTACTACACCAGGAGTACCCCACCCCAGCATAGGAACAACAAAAGAAGCAAGAATGGTCAGAAGCTGCATAGCACGACCCACGTCCCACATTCAAAGCACTCTCACACACAGGCTCTCATGGGCTCATCAAACCCTGAGTTCCGTGGGGAAAGATGACAGCAAAACATGTTAGGCAGAAGACAGAGAAGGTGCTTGCTTCCCAGGCCAAGAGGGCAGGGGTCCTGGAAGAGAAGCCAGACTCATCAACACCAGGGAGGAGACTGTCTCCCCTCATTCAGCTCTGGGGCCTCAGCTCCAAAGGGCAGTGCAGGCCTCAGGCTGGGGCTGGAGAGACAGCCTTTAGGCCTTCAGGGCCCGGGAAGGCCTTCCCCACAGGCCTCCAGGCCCAGTGCCCAGTTAGTGTGGGGCAGGCAAGTCTGGGGGCCTCCCCCTCCCCCAGTCCCCTGGGAGATGGGGGGGGCGGTGAGGGGATGGGCCAGGCTCCCCCTCCCAGGCCAGCTGCTACAGAACCTTCCGGCTCCAACATTCCATCCCCTCTTAAAGGGGAAGTCCTTGCTTCCAAACTCCGCCTGCCCAAAGCCCTGCAGATGGGTGGAGAAGACCCCGCCAGGCAGAGGAAGATGAAGAACACCAAGAGACTCTTCCTGGCCCTCCCATCCAGGCTCTGAGGCCCTTTCCAAGGTCTCCCCCTTGGCCACCATCTGGAGGAAAAAGGCCCCAATTCTGAAGGGAAATCAGCACCTAGGCCAGTGGGGACTTCTCAGGGGTCAGGCACTCCAATTCTTTGACAACATCCTTAACACCCCACAAGGAAGGGGAGACAGCTAAATAAACATTAGGCTTGCTGGCCTTAGCCTGCTGGCCCCTGAACCGCCACCCCAACTCCCCCTCCCCCCAGTTCAAAGTCCCAAAGCATAGCCCCTGGATGCACTACTCCAAATACGGCTTTGAGTTGGGAGGTGAAAAGATGGAGAGGGCAAAGGCCGAGTGCCAAACACCCCAAGTCTCTGCTAAAAAGGTGGCTCCCCTGGCGGGCCGAAGGTTGGGGACTCTGGCTCTGGAATCGGGTGGAGGGGGTGTGTGTCCGTCTACGTAGGCCACTGGTCTCTGAGGAGGTGAAGGGGACTTGGAACTCTGGTTGCTCTTGGGGAATTGGACGTCCCCCTAAAACTGGGGGGGCCTAGGTCCCCCACAAGAGGTAAAAGGAGAGTCCCTAAAGGGGCTAGAACTCCAGCCTCTGAAAAAGCCAGAGGGGCCCCAAATGCCCAAGTCGCCCCCTGGAATCCAGAGTAGGGCCAGAAGCCAGTGTAGCAAGGGGAGTCCAAACTGGCCGAGTGGGCCCCGAGAAGCCGGAGGGGCCGGGGTCCCCCGGAGGTGAGGCGGGGGCCATCCTCACCCGAAATCGTCGTCCATAGACTTGAAGAAGAACTTATAGCTGGGTCGCTGCAGAACGCCCTTAAAGTCCGCCAAGGTGACGCGCTCGGCGGGCAGGGGCAGTTTCACCAGGTACGGCGTCTCCTGCCCGTCCAGGTGGTAGATGATCTTGGTCTCGCCCATGGCTCCGGCCTCGGGCCCGGCGGCCCGCGCGCGGCCTGCTCCGGCGGCCGGGCCGGGCCTCTCGGGCGGCGACGGCCCTCGGCGCGGCCCAGCGGCTCAGCCTAGCTCGGCGGCCGGCCGCGGCGCCAGCTCCCTTGTTCTCCGGTCGCTCCCGGGTCCCAGCGCCGCCTGCCGCCACCGCGGCCGCCGCTTCCGCTCCCCACTCTCCCGGCTCCGCTGGAGACTGCGACTCTTCCGGTGGCCGCGGCCCTACCCGGGTCTGCGCTGCGGCTCGGCCGGCTCCCCTCCCCCGACCCCGGCGCGGCCCCGCCCCGGCGCGAGCTCCGCCCCTGGCCGCCTCCGCGCCTCGCTGGCCTCACGGCAGATGGCCGGGCCCTCTACCGGGCCCCGCGGACACCCAGCGGTGAGCTCGGCCGCCTGCGCTCCGCTCCCTGGCCTGCGGGGAGCTTGGTGGCGGTCGCCTAGGCTCCCTAGACAGGAAAGGGCAGATCTCACCAGGATGGCCGCGTTCGCGGACTCATCAAGGCCCTGGCTCTGGACCCCAGGGGGATCGGCTGTTCCTCAGCAGCCTGGGGTCACTTTGGTCCCCAGAGGTGGGTGGGGCGGCCCGGGGGGCGGGCGGTTCTGACCAGGTATCGATGGAGGAAAGTGACCTTCATGTGGCCCTTTTAGGGTCTGTTGGAAAGCATAGTTGCTGTCACTGAGTCTACCAAACTGAGTTCCTTGAGGACAGAATGGAATCGAGTTGATTCCTTCTTCCAACCTCAGTACAGGGCACCTGGGTGGCTTAGTAGGTTAAAGGCCTGCCTTCGGCTCAGGTCATGGTCTCAGGGTCCTGGGATGGAGTCCCATCAGGCTCACTGCTCAGCGGGAGTCTGCCCCTCCCTCTCCCTCTGCCCCTCCCTCTCCCTCTGCCCCTCCCCTCTGTTTCTGCGCGCGCGCTCTCTCTCTCTCAACAAATAAATAAATAAAATCTTAAAAAAAAAAGAACCCTCAGTACAATACCTAGGTGCAAAGCTGTGGCTTAATAAATGGAATGATGCAGAATGAGATGAAAATGAGTGCATGACTGGGCCAGTAAGTCTCGAACCAGAACTAGGTGTAATAGGTCCCTGACAGATCTCTTCACCCCTTAGCTTTTAATTCATTTAATAAATGGGTGCCCACCAAGGTGCAAGGCACACTGGGGGATAAAGTGAAAACAAGACAGTTAAGGCTGCCCTCAGTCAGGACTTTCACTCATCTGAAAGGCGGCACATCGGCTTGTAATAAATAACTTCAAAGGGACAAATGCTCAGAAAAAGATAAAATGGAGTGATGTGGTAGTAAAAGGGAGAAGAGAGCCATGGGTGGTTAGAGAAAGCCTCTTCCATTTGAGCAAAGACATAGAATGGAAAAAGCAGCAGCTAGAAGGTCCAGTGTGGGGGGAAAAGCATTCCAGGCAGAGGGCACAGCCAGGTATAAAGGCTCAAGGCAGGAATAAACTCTCCCAATTTGAGGAACAAGAAGGCCATTGTGACTATAGTGATAGTGGTAGAATGAGGCTGGAGAGGTAGACATAGGTCCTTTAAGGCCACAGGAACAAGTATGGGCTCTACCCACTCCATTTTGTACAGTTGCCAAATTAGCATTTCCTTTTTTTTTTTAAAGATTTCTTTTATTTATTTATTTGACAGAGAGAGACACAGCGAGAGAGAGGGAACACAAGCAGGGGGAGTGGGAGAGGGAGAAGCAGGCTTCCCGCTGAGCAGGGAGCCTGATGTGGGGCTCAATCCCGGGACCCTGGGATCATGACCTGAGCTGAAGGCAGTCGCTTAACGACGGAGCCACCCAGGCGCCTCTCAAATTAGCATTTTCAAAGTACCTCTTCCACACGACTCTTCTGCTCAGAAATCTCTCCACATTCCCCAGGGCTTTCCAAATAGTCTTAGCACAATATTCAAAACTCTCCATAATCGAAATTACCTACCTCTACAGCTATTTTTTCATTATATCCTGGCTAAATTTTTTACTTCAGCAAATCAACCTATTTGCTAGCCCCTACACATACCTTGTGTACTTTCATTTCATACCCTTCTCTTCACTTTTTAAATTAAATATATGTGCATATTAAGAAAGCTCTTAACAGCAGTTCTCTGTCCCATTTTCCACCCCAACCCAGTACATACATATTTTTAAACCTCATACTAGTTATCGATTTATGCATTCTGGACATTGCTTATTTATTTCCAAATTTGATTGATGGATTTATCTTTCTTCCACCTCCCCCTAACCTTTTAAAATAGTGAAATCATACTTTTTGGTTAAGTCAATATAGTTTTTAGTATTGACATTTTGCCTATGAGTAAATGCTTCCTTTTTACAACTTTTCATTTCTCCTGGCATTAATCATTGCTTTACTTTTGCATTTGCTTTTTAAAATAGTATATCTACCATTAAGTCTTACCATATATTCTAATAGTTTCTCAATGTATATTTTGTTTACACTGTCAAATATATTAGATAAGCCAACCATTTTTTTCCCCTTGGAGCCTTCCATTCTCTTGCTCTGGTCTGCACTGTTGGCTGTCTCAGCCTATGCACGGCTGTCATCCTGGAACTTCTCTGCATCATCCTTAGAATTCCCATCACCTCTCCTCCCTGTTGGGTCCCCATTTCCTGGATATTTTACTCCTTTGCTTTGGTAAAGCACACCCTTGGGTGGCTTACTTTGAAAGCATGGGAAATAAAACCCTTTTCAAGAACTTGCAAATCTGAAAATATGATTGAAAGTAACTTTCCTTCAGAATTTTGAAGGTATCACTACATTGTCTTCCAGCATCCAGTGTTGCTATTAAGCAGTCAGTTTGAGCTCTGTTTTTCCTAAGGCTTTGCACATTACTTGTTTTTACTCTCTCTGGAAGTCTTTAGGAAGTTCTCTTTATTCCTGGGGTTCTGAAAAAATTTTTAAAGATTTTACTTATTTATTTATTTTTAAGATTTTATTTATTTGTCAGACAGAGAGCGAGCACAAGCAGGGAGAGCAGCAGGCTCCCCGCCAAGCAAGGAGCCCAATGCAGGACTCGATGAGGCACTCGGACTCCATCGCAGGACCCTGGGATCACAACCTGAGCCAAAAGCAGACGCTTAACCACTGACTGAGCCACCTAGGCTTCCCGGGGTTCTAAAATTTCATGGTGCTATGTCTTGGTGCTAATTTACTGTGCTAGGCACTTGGTGAGCCCTTTCCATCTAGAAATTCAACAATATTTCCTTGAATTATTTAATAACATCACTACCATTTTCCCTGTTTTTTATAACTCCTGTTAGATGCTGGACCTTCTAGATTGATTCTTTATTTTTTTCCCTCCTTTATCATACATTCCCTTTTATTTTTAAATGACTGCACCTTTTTTGGGAGCTTTTCTTGACATTTCCAACCTTTCCCCTATCCAATTGGATGGGTAAAATGTTCACAATTCAAAATTCAACTACTTAAGGATGGATGTAGTCTCCATCCTATTCAGGTATGCAGTCCTCCAATTCTCAGTAGGAAATAATTCACTTATTTTTAATTCTTAAAAACCTTGTTATCCAGTTCTCCCTTTTCATAGTACTTTCTTCATAGACACAGTATCTTCCCTCTTTGAATTTTAAGAATAATTATAGCTCCCTGCTGCCTTGAGGTTTTCAAAAATCTCCCTACTTTCTCTTTGTTTCCTTCATTTCAGTTTTGTTTTGGTCCCCACCTGTCACATTGGAAGTTTCCTTAAATGTTCGATGGCCATTGGCGGTCTATTCACATTTAAGAGCAAGATACTAAAAAGCTGATTGGAAGCTGTCCATGTACAGGGCTTTTTTTGTTTTTTGTTTTAAGATTTTGTTAAAATAATCTCTATACCCAAAGTGGGGCCTGAACCCACAACCCCGAGATCAACGGCCGCACATTCCACCAACTGAGCCAGCCCCCACATACAGGGTTTATTAACTAACAGGTTTCACTGTAGGGTGATCAAGTGGGGGTGATGATGGCTTTTTGTTTTGAGGAAACAAAAAATATAAGTATTTAAAGGCTTTCTTTTTTCCCCGTTTTTCAGTTTGTTTTTGCCTGGTATGTGCTGATATTCAGAGCCCTCATATACTTTCACTTAATCCCTCATTTCCAATCTAGCCCCTCCCCCCACCCCCATGTCTGCTCTTGAGTCCAGAGGCTCCAGTACCTCTTCCCTAAGGTTCTGAAATTTCATTCATTCTACTGGGCACTCATAAGCTCTGTCAGTCTGAAAACTCAAGACCTTTGGATTTAGGAAAACTTCATAAATATTTCTTTGATAATTTCCTCCCACCATTTCTCCAGAGACTAAATCTCCCACTTCTCGCAAGATTAGCAGGGCTAATCACCTGGCTAAATTGGATGAGGTAGAGACCTGGGAGGCCTTTTCTTATATAGATCTTTGATTCCTCTCCACCCCACCCTGTTAGCAACAAATCCTTATCCCCTCTGCTGCGCCTTTTCTGGGTCTAAAAGGGCACATTGGGTTTGCTTTTTGTTAAAAACCACCTCAGCAGACAGAACCCATCTCATTCTGCTCTGTTCAACTTTCACTCTTTCATTTATTTTTCATTTTTCAAAATGTCAGTGTCTCTCATGCATTGTGATCACCTCAGGTTTTTCTTACTGAGTTATGGGACTTTTTTGAAGAATTCCTTTAGCATTTAAATGGGGTTTGGGAAAAAGTAAAAAACCCATGTGTTGGGGCACCTGGGTGGCTCAGTTGGTTAAGCGACTGCCTTCGGCTCAGGTCATGATCCTGGGGTCCCAGGATCGAGTCCCACATCGGGCTCCCTGCTCAGTAGGGAGTCTGCTTCTCCCTCTGACCCTCCTCCCTCTCATGCTCTCTGTCTCTCATTCTCTCTCTCGCAAATAAATAAAAAAAAATCTTTAAAAAAAAAAACACCCACGTGTTTAATGTGCCATATTTAAATGGAAACCCTTTGCTTTGCTTTTTTTTTTTTTTTTTTCTTGATTAAACATATTTATTTACAGCATGCCTGACTCTGTGACAAGCAGGCTTGAGCCCTGGTCATTCTGGCTCTAAAGGGCAGTGTGTTCTGCAGACAGGTGCCTGCCACTCTACCTCTTTAACTCCACCTGTGTGTATACCTTGGTGATATCATGGTATCTGCCTTCAGGGGGCTGGTAGTTGGAGATTGGTGGCGTGTAATCTGGCCCTTCGCTTTCAAAGGGGAACAGATTGGGGTCCCGCTTGGTGGCCTCCACAT